AGGCTGTACAAAAACTGTTTCCTGCCTGCATTGGGTAAAGATCTCAGTGCAGCTAAGATAATACTAAGGACTAATAGCTTATTTTATATTGGGAAAGAGCCTTTTCTGTCATTTAGTTTTGTAACTTGTTGGTAGTTACTAAAGCAAGCCATTCTGCTATTCATCAACCAAGTGTTGTGTCAATTCATAAAGTACTAGCTTAGACATTCAGTTTCTAAGTGCAACCATTGGTCCAATAAAAGATATCACCAAAACCCCCCCAGAAACTCTTGCTTCTCACTGGTTTATTACTGAATTTATGCCTCTAGGGCAGTGTTTTCCAACTTTTTTTATATTTGTGGACCCCTAAACAATCTCAAATGGAGATGCAGACCCCTTTGAATTGTGAGTGTGGGTATTCACATACTTTTGATTGATCACAGTCAACTTTCATGGACCCCTTAGACAGTCTGCGGTCCCCCAGGGGACTGCAAACCACAGGGTGAAAACCACTGTTCTAGCGCAGCATTTCTCAATCTGTGGGTTGCAACCCAAGTTGGGGTCACAAGCAGGGCCATCCCGGGGGGGTGGGGATCAGGGCAATTGTCCTGGGCCCTGTGCTTTGGGAGGCCCTGTGGAGCCAAGCTGGCTTCGCGTCTAACCACTTGCCACCCCCCTGCTGCCACCACTTCCGGGCCACACACAGACTGATTTGCCCCGCACCCTGCACCCTGTTACAGTTGTCTCTGATCAGAATATATGAAAGGATCATGAACAATCACGGAAAAACATGGAAAACGTAAATGTCACTTGAGAGTAATGTAGGGCCACATGTTGATACGGCTGTTAATTTGTTTCTGTTGCTATGGATTTCTGTCTTTAAAATTAAGACTATTGAACTGCTTTAACTTGTAGTGTGTAATAAGTCTGTCAATCATTGATCCTTCCAGATCATGGTGTACGCATGAGAGGTCACCCAGACCTGCGGTGCATATGCCTGGGCAGGAGTTTTTGCAGGGGTGGAGGCTGCCCAGACCCTCCATCCCCGCTTTAGGCCACTGAGACAGAATCCAAAGGCCAGACTGAGTCTAGGTTTGGTGCCTCCATGCCTGTATTTGTATAAGTATCCAAGAATTGCACCTGGGTCTCCTGTGTATCTGTGTTATATGTATTTTGGGGCCAAAATACTTGTGTGTTTTCTACTTAAACTATTTACTGGGTGGGACTGGTCACGGAGGTTTACAAATGGGTCGAGAGTACAAAAACAGTTGAGAACCGCTGCTCTAGTGCGTCCCTGCTCCTGGCTTTCCCCTAAACAGTCAAACCAGGGCATCCACAGGCTACAATGGGCCCCTGCAACTTTCCTGCCCAGCTTTGCTCCCGCCTTGCTCCTCTCCTTGCTTTTCCCCACCTGCCTCTGTACTGTCACTGCTGTCTCCGAGCTGGTCCTTAAGACACGGGCGGGTGGGGGAAGCCACCAGGAAGGAGGAGGGAAGATCTCAGCAGAGAGCTGGGGGGAAGACCCCGTGGCTTCAGTTTCTTGGAGGTGCGCTCAGGGAGGGCAAGAGGGTCCTGGCGGAGAGTGGTGGGGCAGCGGATTGGATCTGCATAGCCCCCAGAGCAGGGATGGATCCCAGCTTGGAGCCTGCTCCGGCAGCAGCCGAAGGGCAAAGGCAGGGGAGAGCCTGGCCCCGCTGTGGCTCCCGGCCTCAGAGAGGACCGAAGATGCTGCCTGAGAGCCTCCGAGCAGAGCAGCGCTGTTATCTGGCCTGGTCCGCCTCGTTGTCAGCGCCAGCCTCCATGTCCCTGGAGGGTCTGAGCGACTCCCATGGGAAAGATCCCCTTCTTGGGTAAAGAAATTTGGGAAGGCCACTGATGAGACACAGCCCAGGGTGTCCCCGGAGCCATTGCAGTCTGGCCTGTTCCTCTCCTGGCTTGTAGGAGTTTCAGTTAGGACAACCTCAAGGCTCCCCGTGAGCAGGCAAGTAGAGTTGCAGTGGGGGAAAAATCAGCTGCACAAACTCATGCCACTGCTTTTTGCCCTGGTGCACGCCTCTTGAATGTGGGGTTTGTGCAGGGAAAGATGCCCTGGGTGGGGCAGGGGAAGTTGGGGCAGCACCTAGCCTGGCCCCAGCAGCCTTACCTGGGGATCTCTGGCTCCACCAGTGGCAATCCAGGTGAGCAGAGCATGGTTGGTAGCTGGAGCATGGCTCTGACAGGCCAGGCTCTGGTTTTGGGTGGCGTACACTACCCCATTTTTTTTCCCGCATTCATTTTTGTTGATTTTGGGAGTTCCTTATATCTACATTTGGCTCCATGCTGCAAATATGCAGCATGGTGAACCAAATCACATGCACAGGGTGCATTTTGCAGCTCCTTTGAGCCGCCTCAAAACACGTGTGTGTGCCCATGTGTATGCAGCCCATCTGTTCAAGAAGCAACCTCTGTACCAGAGCAAAGGTACAGCCAAAAATAACTCCCCCCAACCCCTCTTTGGCCTGCTTGTGCTGGAGCCAGAATCTGGGTGCTGTGAAGCAGGAAGCGAGCACCCACCACTGAGACCCAAGAGAGGTGCCCCCTGCTTTCCCATCTGGGTATATGAATGGGGAAGATGTTGGTGCCCCTAGACTCTGTTCAGGATCTTCACCTCTTTTATCACCTTCTGGCCATTTGCTGAGTGAGAAATAGGAAGGCCCTCTTCCCTTCCTCATGTCCTAGGGGGAAGAAGGAGCACTCTGTCCTCCCCCAAGGCCTCCCAGCTGCTGGGAGTGGGGGAGAGGGAAAGCAGATTAGGGATTTTGCTCCTCTACTCCCCTCCCAGCTTCCCTTTTCTTGACCCTCCTTCCCCTTATGCAGTGGAGCTGGGGCTGGGGCTGCAGGTGCTGAGTTGGGGACTTTTGTGTTTTTAGGGACTGGGGGCATGGACAACTGGTGCCGCCTTAGTTGGGGGGACATGTGTCCCCCCACACCCAATCTTGCTGATGCATGGGTCCGCCCTCGGCCGATACCACCAACTGGGGGGAGGGGGTCGCTCTGCAGCCAATCGTGAGATGGCCGATCACTGCTGATCGCTGCAGCCACTTTTAGGAGCACTACGGTGCTCCACTCCCCAGCCGGCACTTGCAATAGGGGGGAACTGGCACTCCTGCCTGCTCCCTTTCCCCGTTGCTTAAGCGGTGAGCACGGCCAGTCAGGGGGTGCACCGGTCCTTTCACGAGGTGCACATGCATCCCCGTGCACCCACTATGTGTTGCCACTGGCTGGGGGTCTTCTAGGAGGTGGCTGTGTGGGGAGCAATCGCTGCTGAAGTCTGATCACAGAGTCTACTACAGTGCCATCATGCTGGCAAATTATGAAATGGTGGCCTTGTTGGGTAAAGGATCTTGTCTTCTGAGGTACTGGAAGCCGTGGGGTCTCTGATGTGCATAGTTTAGCTTCTGCTTAGGCTCTTCCGTGTCTGCTGTGTTTTCAGGAAAATAGGCCTCACCCTCCCCAGATGAAATTTGGGAAGACGTTCATCTCCCTTCACCGTGGGATGGGGCATTCAGAAGGTGCTTCATAGCTACACAGTCTCCAAGACTATTCCACGGTGCTTTGCTTGTTAACTGAGTCCTTATCTATGCCCTCTACTAACCCTGACCACATGCCACCTTGCTGCTTCAGTGTTTGCATGCTGACAGCTGATGTCTTGTGCAAGTTTAGCTCATGTAGAGTGCAATCTGTAAGAATGGAAAACTCCTGAAAGGGGCCATACCCATGCAGGATTCACTATTCACATTCCTGTGAACAATTTGACTTCAGGAAGAAGTAGATTGGCTTGCTGTTACTATGAGCAGCTTGCCCATACCCATGTGAGATATGCCAGCACCATGCTAGGCATAGAGTGATCCATCAAACCGAGACCTCTTCAGCTTAGTTAGCTCTGTAAACCCCCAATCAGACATTCACACAGCTCCTGAACACCTCCAATCACAGCTGGAGAGTAAACCTGGCCCGCACACGGGAACCAAAACTGCAGGTGGGACCAGATCCAGTAAGAGCAAATGCTATGGCATGGTACAGCTTAGCCAGGGGTTGAGAATATTCCTAGGTGCTATGGGTGCTGCTATTCTGGTCTAATGTTCCTGTATCTCAGGCAGTCTTTTGTCCCTGGCACAAAGAATAACTCGTTTCTGGATTTTCTGTGTCTGTTCCTGCAGGTGATGGGATGGAGAATGAAAAGGAGAGCCCACAACAGGAAGGGCTTGAGGAAGTTGCACTAAGTGAGATTTTATCACAGAGATCCAAAGGGGATTTTACGCAGAGCTGTCAGCAAGGAAAAGCAAGCGACAGTCAAGTGAGATCAGCAAGGCCAAAAAAAATAGGGGATAAATCCCTTAATAATGGGAAACTTTGCAGGGACCTTGCAGGAAGAAAAGCCCAGCAAAGAATCCAGCTAGGAGAGAAAAGAACCACCCGTTCTAAACACGGGGAAAATGGGAGTCGTAGATCTAACGTTATTGCACAACAGAAACTCCACTCTATGAATGCACTGACTGCGGGAAAAGCTTCAGCCAAAGCTCAAATCTCATTCTGCATCAGCGAATCCACACAGGAGAGAAAACCTATAATTGTCCTGACTGCGGGAAGAGCTTCAACCAGAGTTCAAACCTTGTGGTGCACCAGAGAATTCACACAAGAGAGAAACCCCATACGTGCCCCGACTGTGGGAAAAGCTTCATCCAGAGCTCAAACCTAACCACACATCAGAGAACCCATACGGGGGAGAAACAGTACATGTGCCCGGACTGTGGGAAGAGGTGTAGCGATCACTCAACTCTTGTTAAACATCAACGGACCCATACAGGAGAGAAACCATATCGATGCCCAGACTGCGGAAGAGGATTTAGTGACAGCTCAACCCGGATCCGCCATCAGAGAACCCATGTGGGAGAAAGACCCTATAAATGCCTTGACTGTGGGAAAAGCTTCAGTCTTAATTCAAACCTTATTACCCATCAGAGAATCCATACGGGGGAGAAACCCCATAAATGTGCGGAGTGTGGGAAATGCTTCAATCAGATTGCACATCTCAGTAAACATCAGAGACTCCACAGAGGACAGTAATTTGGATTTGGGAAGAAGCTTCATTCGGGGGCAAGCAGATTTGAAGGCTTTTATTGATAGTGCTGAAACATATACCCGAATACCATATTTTCAGATATACCATATGCCTCCCAAATAAGACACACGCCTTGTGGTTGGGAAGACAAAATTAACAAAAGATTTTTCCGGAGTTATTGCTGCATAAAACAAGGAAAGAACCAAATCTTCAGCTCATTCACTCTCCTTTTTCTGCTTAAGCAGCAGCTGAAACCCTAGCTGCTGCTTAATGCTGGTCTCCATGGCCAGATCTGCTATTTTGAAACAAGCTAAAAACTCACAAGGCTGTGAAATAGGAGAAGAGGACCTGGGTGTAGCTAAAAGACAGAAACATGGCCAGAAGAAAAGTTAATTTGACTGGTGGAACATCAAAGCTATTAAGAAGAAAACCTGATTGTTAGCACCTGTGGAGTGAAGAACAATGAGAAATAAGATCTTTACTATTCATGCCATCCAGGAAGAGCACACACCAACTACAGAGCTTCCTCAGCCTGACGAAGGGTTTTTAAATCTGAAAGCTTGCTAATTTTTTTTTTCCAACTATTTAAGTTAGTCTAATAAAAGATATCAGATTCACCCAAAGAACCTGGTCTGCCTGAGAAGTAAGAAGGCACTGAATGAAATATATTTAGACAGTTCAGAGCAAAACCAGGATACATTTGTTCTCCTGATTTGAAGTCTGATGTGAGATGTTTTGCAACACCGCTTTTCAAGCTTTTGCCTTTTTTTTTTGTTCTCTCCATTTTCATGCACAACTCTTGGTCACAGACTTGATTTCACAGAGCACAGGTCAAATTCATAGGGGACATCACATGATAAATCAGCATCCCCCAGCACGGTCCTTTGTATGTTATTTTTACCCTTTCTTCACTCTTTCAAATGAGAATGTAATGTTGCATGGACAGTGGAAAATTATACATGACCGTCAACACAAACACTAGTGGATACTTGTATGGAGGTTGAAGTCCGAAATAGGTTAGAGGAGAAATAGAAGTGGAAATAGAGTTGAAGTGGAAATGGAGGTTGAAGCAGAGGTTAGGGAAACTTCTCCCTAACCCTAACCCTTGGTTGAAGTGGAAATAGGTTGGAAGTTGAAGTGGGTGGAAATGGAGTTGGAAGTTCTTTCCTGATGCTCGCAGTGACAGGAGATACAGCCATGACCCTGGGTATGTGGGAGGTGGTGGGATAGAAGGTGAGGAATTGCAGGGTTTGCTTTTGAAAGCCAGGCAGCTGAGGCTAATAACTAATAGCTTGTTGCACTGGGGACAAGTGGAGACAGGAATTATCCTGTAAGCTTCAGGTGAAGCTCTTCCTGCATTTTAGGAGGCCATGGATGATGTCCCAAGGGTATTGTCAAGGAAATCTGGTTTCCTTCAAGGAAGATGAGCAGAGGTAAGAAGGAAGCAGAAGCAGTTAACAGACCTCACCAGCCTTGAAGAAGGCCAGGCCCCATTTTCAAAGCCAGAGGGAGATGAAAAGCTTAACAGCCCAGGTAGTGACTCCCAGCTGTCTACTGCACTCTTCTGTGGAGTGCGTGATAATGGTAATTGCTCTACGAATCCTCCTGAAGGCTGCTTTAGGGTGATCCAACTGGGGGCTAGCATGAAAAATAACCATCACCCACAGTGAGCAAGTCCCACCTTTGGGCTCCTTTGCAAGTGGAAATGTAGATATGATGGGGAACCAAAACTACAAAGCAACCTGGCCTGTTAGCTCGATTGGGGTTAAAACCTGGCCTGTTGCAGGAATTCAGAGGGGGATTTTCAGAAGCAGAGGGGAGAGTCCAAGGTCTGAGCCATGCTTGACCTTGCCTTGCAAAAGGGGGTCTGCTCCGTTAGTGGGGTTGTGAGGCTGTGCTTCTTTCAACCTCTCTGCACCTCCAAATATAGCCCAAAGGATTCAGGCCCTGCCTACAAAACAGGGAGCTTCTTCCTGGCTGTGGACAAACACCTCTGTATCAGCTCCCAGGATGATGGTGTGGGGGGGAAACAGCGACTGCTGTCTTTAATGGGTGAATCTCATCTGGTCTTTATGCAGGTAAGTGCCATTTAGCTGCCAGTTTTGGCACTAGGCTGTATTTAGATTCTGTTTCCACCTGTGGAGGAACAGCTGGCCAGGTGTGTGCTTAACTACTTGAGAAAGGGGTGGCAACTTCTCCCCCATTTTGATCCAAGGGTCTAGTGGTTAAGGCATTTGCCTAGGAACTAGGAGGCTCTCTGAGCCTGGAGTTGGAAGAACCCAGCTAGAGTAGGTTGGGACAAGGCTGTGTACCCTCCACCCAGACAAGGGTTTACCATCCAAATCCCTCTATGTCCTCTAGGGGCAGCCTCCTTGTCAAATCATAACATTAAGGCATGCCAGTCCAGTCCAGGTAGGAACCATTTCCCCTCATACCCCTCCCAAGTATCCCTCCCAGTATGGGGCTGTGTCTCCTGCCCTTCCCTCCCTCCCCTCAGTGAGGAGAAGGCAAAGTGCTACCTGCCACCCTGGGCTGGGGAGGGACCATCATCACCTTCAGAGAATTATCCCCATGCTGAGGGTTTTAAAGCCCTTCTGTTGTAAAGGAACCAGCAATGCAAAGAGAAAGGGTTTTGTTTAAAACAGCCTTAAAGGAAAGGAGAAAAAACCCCATCCCAAAATAAATGTTTTCCTTGTAAGGCAAACCCCCACCCCCCAGCACCTAATGACATGAGTGGCCAAGGGTGAACTTCAAAGGGCTGCAACTGTGTTCATTTATGTTGCATTTTTCCCGGTCTCTGGAAGCAAGGCCCTTCTCTGCATCTTCAGAAGAGATGGGTTTTTTGTTTTTTTCCAGGCCTGCTCACCCCTCAGCTGGTAATCTTTTCAAAGGGCCCTTCCCCTTTGAGGCAGAGCCACAGAGACCACCTACCCTAATCAGCCATTCATTTCTGCCTCAACCCCCTGCCAAAGATGGGCTTTGTTGTAGACCAGGGGGGTTCACACCTTTGTGCAGAGGAGTCGTAATGGATGTGCGTGACTTGACAGTGAGTCACTGCTCCAGACTCATTATCATTAGGGTACCGGCATGTCTCGCCGTACAGCCAGCGACCCTGGGCCTGTTGCACTAAGTGCTACACACACACCAGCAAAGGTGTCCCTTGCCCCTAGTGATCAGCACTAGAATAGCTCTGACCACCTTTTTTTCTCTGCTTACCCCAAATCCTCCCACCCGCACAGCTGAGTCCAGAGACAGGTTGGGGGAAAGGTGCCTACAGTGGATGCTCAATATAGCCATGGAGGGGCACAGGTATTCAGGCTAGCAGCTGTTGTGAAGGCCGATTTTCATTTGAGGAGGCATCTGTCACGGAGCAAAACTAACAGTGTGCAATTCGGATCACCAGGCAAAGAGTTTGGAAATAAGGGTAACTCAAACCAACAGTTGGGACGAAGAGTTTGCAAGTGTCCCTGATCACTTGTTATTGTTGGGGTCTCAGCAGCCCAGGCCTTGAGATGATGTTAATCCCCTCAGCCAATGTTAGAAGATGGGGGTCATGGGGACCCATTTATCCTGTCACCATTGGGACAGACCCCAGTTACCCAACTGGGAGTGTGGAATAGTGAAGTGGAAAGTTTGGATAGGGATGATCCTGGCTCAGGAAGGTTGATCTACATGTGCCCTAGGTGAGGGGAAGGATGCGGATGGGTCACAGGGCAGAAACAGGATTGACTAGAAAGGGTAAGGGTGAAAAATTTCTTATCAGCAATTCCTGCAACTCAGCTGGTCCAGTCCTCACTGCCTCCACGTCACCCCCTCCTCCTGGCTGCCTCTCTCCCTCCTGGGCAAGGGGGGTCTTTCCCTTTTAGATGAGGACCAAAGATGCTCAGATTTTTCTTCATTTGCACATTTTGCTTTGGAGGGCAAAATACAGTTTTATGGGACATATTCCCTTGTGTTACATGTATGTTTTTCTGCTCTACCCTTCCTCCCTAAAAAAACCCCTTTACTGATTTTCATAAGATTTTTTTATTCGCGTGGTTTTCAGCAAAACATTTTGTGAAGTTAATTTTGCCTGGAAACACTTATTTTTTTTCTTTGCAAAAGACACTTAAAAAATAATAAGAAGAAAGAAACAATACATATGTATATGTAAGCAGTGTCCCCCATTCTGGCTTTACATCAGTATTTTTTTAGAGGAAAGTCAGAAAATAAAATTAAATTAAAAGCAATTTAAAAAAAAGCTATTAAAGCATATTTTAAAATATAACAAATGTACAAGAAACAGTAGGCATGCTTTGCACCCCTGCAGTCTAAAGTTTTGGGCAAAGCAGTTCCTTGATAACATGCCCTTGGCTGTTCCCCTTCCTGGGGTATCCTGTGTCCTGAACGTAACGACTGAAGCCTTTATGGATCCCCCTCGATGCCCACAAATTTGTGTGTGTGAATGAAATGGAGATGATTTTTCCACAAAACACTCCTGACTTTAGCCAAAGCACGAACCAAAAGACACAGAGGAAACATTTCCCAGAGACTGGAGAAGGCAGGAAAAGTCTGATGGAGGGCTCAGAACAGAAAAGCAGCCTAGAAAGTCTCAAAAAAGCAGCAAATCCTTACGATGCTGTGAAAGAGGGCAACTTTCCCCTAATCCCTGTAGGCCTTTCACAAGCTGCCTTTCCCCCATCACTGCAGACCCGTGCCAATGCCTCCCCCCCAGGCAACAGTTTTGGGTGCTTAGGTAATGAGAATGGCTGCAATGGTCTGATGGTTGTGGGGGGACAGAGGACAATGAGAGGGGAGGGGAAGGGCCACTGCTAGGGGATTATGGAGCAAAAGTAGGCATCAGATCCTGTAGGGATACAGATGTTACAGGAGTCCAAGCAGTGCTGGGGGGGTTAAAAAGGAAAACGGGGTTTGGGGAGGTGGTGTGCAGAAAGGGGATGTGGGCTCTAGGGCAGAGACAATAGGCACTGAGCCTGCAGGTGCCTGGGGTTCCCTTGCCTTTACCCAGTATGTCAGCCAGGGACACCTCTGCCACCAGTGTGCTCAGCACTGAGGAAATCCCATGCACAGCCATGGGGCAGGAAGTCTAGATCACTCCCTTATCCAACAGGGGCTCTCACCATGAGCAGTAAAAGGCATGGGATGGGGGTGGGGAAGAGCTATTTTCTCTATCAGAGAATGCTTAAGGGCTGATTGGGGGTTACAGTGGACAATAACTTGAATAGGATTCAACAGTGTGCTATAAAGAACATTTTCACAGTAAGGGTTGCCAGAACCTGGAATGGGCTTCCAAGGGAGGTGGTGCTCTCCCCTACCCTAGGGGGTCTTCAAGAGGAGACTGGACAAGCACCTAGCTAGGATTGTGTGACCCCAGCACTCTTTCTTGCCCAGGGCAGGGGGTCAGACTCGATGACCTACTGAGGTCCCTTCTGACCCTAACATCTATGAGTGAATCTAGTTGCCAAGAAGGCTAACAGCATACTGGGCTGCAGTGGTAGGTGTGTTGCCAGTAGGTCAAGGAAAGTAATTATTCCCCTCTATTCAGAAGTGAGGCGACATCTAGGGACAGTGGTACAGCTTATCCCTTGTGTGCATGCGCTGGTGACTCATGAGCATTGACCTCTTAGTGAATCCCTTCCCACACTGGCTGCAGAAGAAGCGTTTCTCCCCTATATGAGTGCGAAGGTGATAGGTGAGTTTGGAGCTCTGCGTGAAGCTCTTCCCACACTGGCTGCATTGGAACGGCTTCTCGCCTGTGTGCACACGCATGTGACGTGGGATTGTTGATTTCCTGGTGAAGCTCTTCCCACACTGGGGGCAAAAAAATGGCTTCTCCCCTGTGTGCACACTCAGGTGAGTTGTGAGTGAAGAGCTGTTGCTGAAGCTCTTCTTACACTGGGTGCAAGAGAATGGCTTCTCCCCTGTGTGTATGCGCAGGTGAATGGTGAGGTTGGAGTTATATGTGAAGCTCTTCCCACAATAGATGCAAGAAAATGGTTTTTCTCCTGTGTGCACACGCAGGTGACTCATGAGCGCAGAGCTGCTACTGAAGGTCTTTTTGCACTGGCTGCAAGAGAATGGCCTCTCCCCCGAGTGCACGCGCAGGTGACTTGTGAGCCCAGAGCTGTTCCTGAAGCTCTTCTCACATTGACTGCAGGCAAAGGGCTTCTCTCCCGTGTGCACGCGCAGGTGACCTGTGAGTGTTGATCTCCTGTTGAAGCTCTTCCCACACTGGGTGCAATAAAATGGCTTCTCCCCTGTGTGCATGCGCAGGTGTTGCATGAGTGCAGAGATGTCGCCAAAGCTCTTCTCACACTGGATACAAGAGAATGGTTTCTCCCCCGTGTGCACGCGCTGGTGCCGTGTAAGCTGGGAGTTCTGTGTGAAGCTTTTCCCACACTGGGTGCAAGAAAATGGCTTCTCCCCTGTGTGCACGCGCAGGTGTTGCATGAATACAGAGCTGTCAGCAAAGCTCTTCTCACACTGGGTACAAGAGAATGGTTTCTCCCCCGTGTGCACACGCTGGTGCCGCGTGAGCTTGGACTTCTGTGTGAAGCTTTTCCCACACTGCATGCAGGAGAACAGCTTCTCTTCTGCATGCACACACATGTGGCTTTGAAGGTGATCCCACCTAGTGAAGCTCTTTTTGCACTCAGCGCAGCAGTATATCTGCTCCCCTGTGTGCATCTCCTGGTGCACTTGGAGGTCACTTAAGGAAACAAAGCTCTTCCCACACTCTGAGCAGCAGTGAGGGTGTTCCTTCGAGTGCTCATTGAGAGGGCATGTATGGTGGAAGTTGTCCCCACGCTCAGCACAGGCCTGGACATTCTCCCTCTGGTGGGTCCCAAGTTCCGCATCATCCCCAAACTTCCCACTGGGCTCTCCACATATACTCAGGTCTCTCTGCCCTTCAAATCCTTCCCTGCTCCTTTTGGTCTCCACTGGTCTCTCTTCTTGTTGGGAAGGGAGCTGGTTTCCAGTTTGAAACAGATTCAGGTTGGCAGGCTCTTCCTCGTGATGCTGCTGCTGCTCATCTCTGCCCAGTGACTCAGCATCTGCTGGGTGGAGACAAGAACCCAGAAATTAGTCCCTGTCCAACTGATGAAGGGAAAGATCTGGTATTTCCCCATGCTGGGATGTGCCCCAGACACTGGATGGGCCTAGGTACCTCTGTGAAAACAAGGGGTCCAAATGCCTGTGCACTCTGGGTCTCTGGTCTCACACCTTGTATACCCTGTGCTCCAGTTATGAAGCAGAACATGGGTGATTCTGGTAGAAACAAGGCACTTGTATCCCCCAGCTGTGAAAGCTTGTGAATCCCAACTACACCAAGCAGATACTTCATACTGCTGGAAGCACTGATTGAACACTGCCTTTATTCCCCTGGCTGTCACACAGGGGAGGGACAGAAATTCCACTCAAACTAAGCAACAGGACTGGTCGCAGCAGGAAGCAGAGCACCAGCCTCTCTATAGCCCCATCCCTAATACCCCCTGCAGGGTTTCTGCCAACTCTGACAGCTGCCATGGGGAAATTCAAACAAGTTCATGCCCTGCCAGAGGGTACAACAGAGGTATGGCCACTTTGGATTGGGCTATCGGTTCTTGCACTGCTGAGGGAAGATGGAAATTTAAACTCATGGTACCCCAGGGATACCAGATTTGTGACTCAAATCAAGACAGCAAGCTAGGCTTTGTCCCTAGCATGTTAGTACTTCTCTATGGACAGCCCCTTTCTTCCATGACAGAAACACTTGCCAATATACCTCCTTAAGAGGAGGATCTGAAGGGCTGAACGCAGATTACTTGCCTAAACAAACCTAATAGGGGAAGAAAAAAGAATCAGTTGCCCATCCTGCATCACTGGAATACAAGGAATGGATATACACACCTGCCTAGACAACACAGATCTGGCCAAGTTGCATGATGTCAGGACTTTGTGGGAGCAACTTAAGGCAAGTGTTCAGGTTTCCAGCTCCCCCTATGTGTTGAGAGGTTCTGAGCTGAGGTGTGGGTGGAAGGAGGTCAGGGAGTTTCAAGACTCACCTGGAGTCAAGTCCTCAGAAAACAAGTTTTCTCCAGCTTCCTCATCACAGATCCAGAGCTCCATCTCACCTTGCTGGATGCGGCAGATTAGGTCTGGTGTGGGACCTTGATATCCTGTGTTGGGGAGTGTATAGAGGTTGGTTATTCCACCATCCAGTTCCCAATTAGGACTTGGAGAAAGGATCCAATGGATTCAAATATTCTAATGGGGACTCAAGGGAGGACACTTAGGAAGAAGGGCATTTCAGCTGGTGTGGGAGCTGTGTATGCTGTTCTGGGGAGTGTAGAGAGGGGGGTTATTCCACCATCCAGTGCCTGATTGGGATTTGGAGAATGGATCCAATGAACTCAAATATTTAATGGGGACCCAGGGGAAAAGGAAAGGAGGATGTTTAGAATAAAAGAGAAACCACGACAAGCAGAAATCTTTAACAGAGTATCACCTTGGCCATCTAAGTAAGTGGAATGATGGTCATATGAAGTATAAAGCATCAACCCCTCAGAAGTATATAAAGGGTAAAAAGTTTACAGTGGCCCCTTGGAAAGTAGGCAGAGATGCAATGCTCTGTGTTGTGTAAGGAGGAAGAAAGAGAATGCTGTTATAGATTTTCAAGATATTCATTTGAAAAGAGAGATGATGAATATACTCATAGCCATCTATCCAACATGTCTTATTAGGGTAATTCCAGGTGAAAAAAATAGAAATATTTGCAGTAGTTTTTGCACTGATGAGTCTTGCAAGTAAAAAGTCAATGACAGGCTGAGGACAATGAAAGCCTGTTTACGGGAGAGAGAGGAATTCATTTTGGCACTGCATAGAAAAGGATAATGTTATAAGAACTGTAGAGGCAACTATAGCAACCTTTCCATCCAACGGGTGGATCCTTACGTGAAATGATGCATAGACGCATATGTACTGAAGATACAGGCTGTTTGCATTAGGGATATGGATTAAAGGAGGAAGACGATACATTTTTACAAAATGAGAATGCCCACAGTAGGGTACACTGTTCAACCCAGGTTCCCAGGAATAGAATGATGATAAAATCACCTCCAGAAAAGATTGTCATTCAGTAAAAATAGTCTGCAGGATGACTACAAGGAGAGATATAACCAAACCATACCTTGTGAGAGCAACATGGTCCCATAGAGTATCAAGCCTGCTCACTTTGGGCTATTCTCAAAGGTAAAATAAAGAAAGAGACTATCAGGGAAAGGATATTGGACATTACTGCTGGAATACAGCTTATAAACGGAAAGCCAGGTCTTTGCAACAAAGTTGACCAACAGTCTTATAATACAGAGAGCTTAATGCAGATTCACTTTGGGATTCAGGGAAGGTATATTTATTTGCACTTGCCGAAGATGTATTAGATGAAACCCAAGCACATCAGAAACACAAGGTGGGAAATGGAGGTATCAAGAGATATTGAAGAAAATAGAGAAGTCTTTGGGAAGACACAAAAGTTGATTTGGACCAAGTCATTTATGCAGAAACGACAGCTACAAAATAGCAGTATCAAGAGTAGCAGCACTGAAAGGCTTGTATAGAAAACTGAACATTAGAGAAGATGAAAAAATAATTGATAGGCTAGCTTAAATCCACAATGACTAAAAAAAAAAAAAAAAAGGGGGGGGGGGGTGGAAGACTTGGATAATGTTGTGTCCAATGCTATTAGTGATGAGAAAAGTGGATTAACATATGATCAAATACAAAGCGTGTATTCTGAGATTTTGTTGAAAGGAGAATGTCCCAGAGAACATTTGCATCCATTGATGCTGTAAATGAAATTGAATTTGCAGCTGACAGTGCAGAGGAAATCAGGAAAGCAGTAAATAAATGAACAAATGAACTAACAAAAGGGAAATGAAAGTGAAGAAAGAAGTTAAACAGTAGTTTCAAATACTCAACCATAGGAAGTTCCTGAAGCATTAGGAGATGAAGGTAAATGGTGGTTCTGCACTTAATGAAGGAAACCGTACAAGATAGAAGACTTGAAATGAATGGTGACTAAGTATAATATTGCTTTTGCCTTCCAACAGAAAGGGAGTAACTATCGAAGTTCTGATGACAGGAGAACAAAAATGATTTAGCCACCAATTCCAAACTGATGATCAATTATTGCAGCCAGACTCAACATGAACACATAGATCAGGTATAATCATTTTGGCTTGAGAAAAGTAAAAAGAGTGTCACTAATCAATAAGGAAAGTCCTGAAAACAATCAATTGGCCTTCAGATATCTGACAAAAAAAGCATTTGTGCAGACCCCCAAGGAAGATTTTTAGTGGAGGTTGAGAAAGCAACCACTAGAAAAGGACACTTGACTACAGCTCTGGGTAGGGGAAAAAAGAACCTGAAATTTACCCAGGGAAACAAGGGCTCGGTAATTCCTCAGCATCTGGTCCTGGTAAAGCCCCTTGTCTCCAGTTTCCAGCAGCTCCCACTCCTCCTGTGTGAAGTACCCAGCCACTTCCTCAAAGGCCTCCAGGAGCTGCAGTCACAAGCATTACACCATCAGTGTCTCCTTCTCCACCCTCCTCCAGCCTAAACAAATCTAGATCTTACTCCTCAGCTGATACAGCTGCTCCAGCAAAGGGTCTGGCATGGAAACAGCTCTAGGGACAGAACAGCACGTTTGTCTGCTTTAGCTCACGTCATCCAGGGAGTCGGCGCAGTTATTCCCTCTGCCAGTATACGCTGTGCCTATAAGGGAGTACTGGTGTACGGATGGCAGTACGAGACTGCAGTCCAGGTGCCATGAGTGTACCCTGGGGAAGCTGTTTTCATGGCAGTGACTCACAGAAAATGCCCTGCTTCGGAGGGGGACCCTGGGAATTCACCCCGCTCCACCAGACACAGCCCAGGAAACGGTGGCTTTTGGTGCAGTCAGGAGTCTTCTCTTTCCTCCATGAGGCTCTGGGCTGGAGAGCTCCCAGGAGATTTACTGACCCACAAAACACAGGGAACCTCCCTGCTGCTGTCCTACATGATATGGGACTGCTGCAGCCATCCCTGTTGTGTCTGGCCATGGAGTGGAAATGAAGGGCAGGGGAAGAAATAAAGCCAGGAAGGGGGAATGAGGATTCCCCATGGCCTGCGCTGGGATGAAAAAGGCAGGACTCAGTGGAAACTCAGCCTGGAAGCAGGAGAAAGTGGGGGGACATTCCAACTTCATGTACAGAGACAAGGATATTACAGCTCCCCAGATCACAAAGTGTCCATTTTCCTTGGGCACAAGTGAGACCTGCAGGCTTGGAGGGGGGCTTTCTCCAGATATAAGCAACTCTGGGAATTTTTCCTTGATCCCAGTTAAGGTACTGGCACAAGGGGACTGAGATTCATTTCCCTTTCAGGCAAGTTGATCCTCCAGGACTCAGGAACACTGCTCACTCCTAGCAAACTGTCAGCTCATCATCCTGTCCTGGCACTGGCTGGGCTGGAGAGACGCCGCGGTACTTCGGTGCAGAGCCCCTCCATGCTTCTCAGGGAGAACCTGATGGACTCAGCTGAGGAGACCCTCACCCCATGCTCCCTGGTGCTGGCTGGGTGCCACAGAGGGTCCAGAGGAGCTCCCTCCTGGGACCCCAGTCTCAAAATGCTCTCCTGAAGTACCCCTCAGAAGAAACTGAGATAGCACTTCCAGAGGCAGGGAGTGCTGGATCCACTGGTGCTGAGGGCAGTACTTCTAGTCCAAGCCCCCCAGGCTATCTGTACTTGGCAGCCAGTTCCTGCTTCCCCTCAGGCCCTCCCTCGTGGCTTGGTGTGGATGCAGCCTCTCTTGCTAACAAAGCTTTCTCTTGTGGCTCTTTAGGTCTTTCCATGCCTCTGGCTCTTTCCCACACCCAGAACTCTTGCTGAGCTTTGGCCTGGCACCACATTCTCACTCCACTGCTGCCTGTACCTTGCTCACGGTCATGTTCCCTCTGTGCTGTGGGCACCTGCTCTGCTTCTTACACACTTGGCTTGGCTCAGGTGTCAGGAGTTCCCTCTCCCCAGATCTTCCTGGGGATGGCCTCAGCAGTTCCAGGTGTACAGGCCTTTCCTCAGGAGTCTTCTCCTCAGCTGTGCTCAGGTTTCCTGCACCTGCTGGGAGGGGAGGAGCATCAAAAGGCTGTTCTAGTGAGGCCTACATTGATCAATACACAGAGATACTGCTCTCACAAAGGCTTTGCTAAAGCACTGGCCAGAGCAGGTGTGATCAGCAAACCTGCCTGACGCATAAGCTCCTTGCATAAGCAAAAACTTGGCATTTAGGCCAGAGGATCAGCAGAAGAGATGGCTATACAAGTTAGAGAATAGTTCATGGCACAAGTTGGCTCAAGATAGTCAAGTTATTGGTGGAATGTAACATGTTTTGACCATTGTATAAAAGGTGAATTAGAAATAAAAGGAACTTTGTGGCCTAGGGGTGCCTGTGCGGTGTTGTGCCAATACTTCGTCATGGGTGTACACACGTTAATACCTTGTCTGTCAGAACAGAAGTGTGTTAGGACCATGCCTTGCAGATAAACTTGGCTGAGCCATGGTCACCAAACCAAGCCTGTGGTTGTTATTTAAGACAAGATTGGTGTTGGGATATCATGGCAGTGACTTTTGCCAGCACCGCATTCCCCGACACTGCTGACCCTACCATGCATTCAAATTCAAGCTAGACAGAAACCAGGTATAAAGCGGTTACAAGTTTTCAAGCACAGACTTCCAAAGTAGTTGGCTCTTTTTATAGCTAGCTGAATGTATTGCATGATTAACCAGTAAATTGTATAATGTATAAAACATGAGGCAGGGCCCTTCAACACTGACAAAAAAATTGATTACATCCAACAAAGACGGCAATGACAACACAAATTAGCCCTAGTGCCACGGGCAAAGGCAAAGCCCTGCTAGTGTGTGCCTCAGTCAGTCCCCAGGCCTCAGTGTATGAGGAAGATGGAAAAATCAAATCCCACAAGTCTTTTAAGGCCCCTGCTACACATTGCATATATTATGGAATGGACTGGTCAATCGCACAATAAATTTACATCAGCTACATGTGCAAGGTAAGACCAGTCACATGAGCAAAGTAATTATCAATTGGTGAATTGTGCCATAAATTTAGACCAGCCACACATGCAAAGTCATTATCATGTGATATAAATGACCACCCAGCTATCAAGAGAGCCAACCAGATACAATGTTAGTGCTTGTAAATGTGTAATAACTCTATAACTGGCTACTATCCAGCTTTCATTTAAACGTATAGCAGGACCCTTCTAATAGATCTCCACAGCCATGAAGCTGGAGATGAGCCCCAGTGACAGTGCCTTTGCTCAGAATGGCAAACACAGTCATCACTCCATGTAGGAGATACAATGGGGACCTTGGTGCTGCACCAGGATCCACACTGCACAGGAGAATGAGGGAACCAACAGGGCCACTTGCTCCAGGGGCTGAGGGGGCAGAAGAACAGAAAAGTTGCTGAATCGACCCCCAACAAAACACGTGAGCAGACAAGACTTTCCCACTGACAGGAGGTGCCTCCTGCTGCTGGAAAGGGCAGAACCACCACCTCTTATCTGCCCCTAGCAAAGAGTCTCATCTGGGGAAGCAGTCCAAGGACCTTTCATCTGCTGACAAGCCCCAGGTCTCCTCTGTGTCAGGGGAATCTGCAACGGGACAGAGGCCCGGGGTTAACTGTAAATAAAAACTAGCCCAAAGTCGCTAGAAAAGCCCATTACCTGCACATCTGCACCAGCCCATTCTTAGGCACAGATGGTTCATAGCGGGCCCAAGAGAGGAGTGCCTGGGACCCCAGCATTGATAACGGTCACAGCAGTGCTCAGTACAACCACAAAAACTGCCTGTATCTGCTCCCAATGAGGCCTTGCATCGCCACTGAATTTGCTAAAGAGCCATTGGCTGGTTAAAGGTGAGCAAAGCTGCTGCAAATTTTGCCCAAATGAAAACATTGCCAAGGACAGCAAGAAAACAGCATATGGAAAGAGAGAAGCATGAGAAGGAAAGCCTGCTTGTTAGGGTGTATTCATATAAACAAGGGTATAGAAAAATATCCAGTGGTGAAAACAGAGTGATGCAAAAAACCTGTAAGAGGCCAGTAGCAGCAGCAACTGTCATGGGGTAAACGATGAATATGCAAGTAACTAAAGTCATAATAGACTTTGAAAACAAAGGGGTGTTGGACTACTAGACTGCTGGGCTACTAGACAAAGCCCCTGAATGTCTCAGCAAGACCCTGGACTGTCTGATCAACAGGACGTGGGAGCAAGACTTGCTGGCAAGGTGACTGGTGTATTTCTAGGTATGGGAGGGTGCGCTAGCTGCTGAATGAAACTACGCAAGGGCAGAGGAAACTCCTGCCTTTGGAGCATTCTCTCTCAAGATCCCACTGGTTTCCCAGTCCCAGGTCTCAGGGTAACATGAGGAAGATAGGGAACCTTATCATTGGATGTTGCTGTCACACTGGAGCTGGCTGGGGACAGAAATCGAGGCCCTGTCACCACACAGACTTGCAGGGAGAGACCCCAGCCCCTCATTATGGGGGCTGAACATTGGCATCTGGGCCCCACAGTACCTCTCTCTACCCAGGCCCCTGGCATGTTACCTGGCTCTTCATGGGGTGGGGGCTCCTCTCTGGGGACACGAGGCAGCTTGTCCTGGGGCTCTGGGGTTTCACCCCATCCTGCCTGCTCCAGTGGCATGTACCCGGGATGGGGCTGTGGCTGTTCTGGCCAAGAGCAGACAGATTCTCTCAAGGTCCCAGGTCCCTCCATGTCCTCGACCTGCCTGTCCACCGTGACCTGGAGACAAGACAACCACATCGCTGGGAGAGATGGGACTAGGAGGAAGCAGCCCTGGACACACGGAGACAGGGAGGCAACATTGATGGCCAGGGTGAAACTCTCTCACTTGGAGCGTCTCACCCTCCACCAGCCCCAGCCGAAACCCCTCAGACAGGGCCCCTGCCTCAGCACAGGCCTCCGTGTTATGCTCCTGCTCCCAGCTTGGTATCCCCTGGGGCAGGATGTCCAGAAACTGCTCCAGCACCAGCAGCTCAGGCGTCTGCTCCTTGTTGCAGCACTGGGGCTGCAGCCAGAGCTCCCGCAGGTGGCTGCAAACTTCCCGCTGCCCCTTGGCTGCCTGGGAGCAGACACCCCAGGCCGGGGCACTGACAGGGCCACACTGGACATCACGACCCCAGCACGGACACACTCAACTGACAGGGCCACACTGGACATCACGACCCCGGCAGGGACACACTCCCCTGCCAGTGCTGGATGGGCCCCTGCAGTGGCTCCCGCTTGACCTCTTGTGGTGCCACCCATCTCGGGGACACTCTGCCTGTCCCAGCCTGGACAGCATGAGGGGCTTTCCCTGCCCTCTCAGCTCCCGCCTGGGGCTTGGGGCCAGCTGGGTCCTGCTTCTCCATGGCCGCCAGAGGCTGCAGCAGCGCTGGGAAGGGGGAGCCCTTGGCTGGTGCTAGCTTCAGCTCAGCAGCCATCTTCTCTGCCTCACCCCAGCCTGGGCCTGTGCGCTCGCTCTCCCACGCCCGCGCCCAGCACCGTTCAGCAGCGCCCGGGCTCCTGGCAGCCTGCGGGAAGGAGACAACAGGGTTTGTCGTGTGATGGGGAGCGAGGCTGTCGCGGATCCAGCGCCCGGCAGCCAGCCCCAGCCCCAGCACCCCCGGCATGAGCCGCGCCAAGGGGCCGCACGGTGCTGGCCTCTCCTGACACGGGGCAGGGAGAGGGGCGCAGACCCCGGCACACCGCCCTGAGCCCCACGAGAGCCCAGCTGCGGGTGCCCCTCGCCCCCTGCCCTGCCCTCCCCCGGGCCCAGCCAGCGCCCCTCACTCCTCCACCTGGACCTGCAGCCCCCTGCCCCACCAGGGCGCCTCACCCCTGACCGCAGTCCCTGGTGCCAGCCCT